TTGGTTTTTTTTTTTTTTTTAAGACAAGTTCTCCTGTAACCTAATGGGGTTTTGAACTCACTGTGTAGCTGAAGCTGGTCTTGAACTGCCTCTACCTTAAAACCAGTAAGAAATCTACAAAAGGCTCTGACAGAATTTTACCTGTCACACAGGTAAAAGGTTGCACTTTAGCTCTGTGTGAAAAGATGATACTGTGTTCTTTAGGGTTACATGGGGCTGGACATGTGTGAGTTTGGGGAAAGATGGCATGGTAATGCTGTTCCCTCTCAAGTTGACACTTCTTCAGAGCTGGCTGTGTGCCAATCATTTCTCTAGATGCCCTTCAGGTGTTAACACAGCAGCCCTCTTATGATTGAGTACCAGCTCTGAAGACCTCTTTGGATGGTCTCAGGAGGTGTTCTCTCTGCTTCTTCTGCCTCCCCACCTTCTACAACTTTCAGGGGTGCCCTTCAGAACCCCATTCTAGTATCTTTACTATTTCTACCAACAGCCGGGCCTTCGTCTCCTGAGATTCCTGCTTCTTGTTTGTTCTTAGGTAGAGAGGACTCAGCTCTCCCACTGGGATTGGGTTTTCCTGTGTTGGAGATGGAGACTAAGCTTTCGTTTCCTGGCCACCTAGACCTGAATAATCACACAGAAACTATATTAACTACAGCACTGATTGGCCAATGGCTCAGGCATATTCCTAGCTGTCTATTACATCTTAAACTAACACATTCCTGTTAATCTATGTATCGTCACCAGGCTGTGGCTTACTAGTAATGTTCTGGCATCTTTCTCTTTTGGTGGCTATGTGGCATCTCTTTGACTGCCTACTCTCTCTCTCTACATCTCTGTTCAGATTTCCCACCTGGCTTTACTCTGCTAAGCCATTGGCTGAAACAGCTTTATTCATTAGCCAATAAAAGCAGCACAAACACAGAAGGACATCCCACATCACCATGGGCTGTCCCGGAACTCACTCTGTAGACCAGGCTGGCCTCAAACTCCGTGAACTCACAGAGATGCCCCTGCCTCTGCCTTCCGTGTGTTAGAATTAAAGGTGTGCCACCACTGCCCGGCAAGGAACATAAAACAACAGAAAGCAAAAACTTTTAAAACAGTTGCCTATACGTGGGTGGGTGGGGCGGGCATGCCTGTACCACAGCATAGATATGCGGACCAGAAGACAACACTCTGGAGTCTGCTCCCTCATCCCTCCTCGTGGGTCCCAGGGATTGAACACAAGCTCTCAAGGTCAGCTGCAAGCGCCTGTAGTTGATGAGATGCATTCAGCTGACCTTTGAGGCTGGGTGTTGGGAGCTGGCGTCACCCTTACCCTTTAAACTTGTCTCTAGGCCATATTCTTCCCTCCTCGCATAAATCTCCCTCACACCTTTGCCTCTGTCAAACTTATCGCATGTCATCAGCCGCCCATCTCCAGAACTCACGTAGGGTTTTGGCAGCACAATTGTGACCTCTCTCTCCCCCAAGTTTGGCCAGACGTCAGCTGGATGCCTCAGCGTGCCAGAGGGTAACCTGCTAACCCTCTGGCTCTGGTCTTCCGTAGCCTCTATCCTGCCCTGCTGGCAATCCCAACAGCTCTGCCCAGCTGTGCCACTAACTCAGGATCACGCCATTCTGAAATCTCTAAGCCTAATGTTCTTCCAAATCATTCATTCCCTCATCTCCAAGGCTCCATTGGCTGCTGGTGTCCAGATTCCCCATCCTTCATGTTTACCAACTTTCCATCCTCCTCCTCAACTGCTATCTTCACAGTTATCAGAATTTCCTCTCACTTGTTCTTCACTGTAATTATGGCAAACATCCCCTTCTCTTCCCCATTTGGAGAGTGAATTCCCTTGTCTTTTTTGTGAATCGGGGCCTTGCCCTATCTTCTGTGTCCTTGCCAGTCCTCAGAGAGGCCTCGTCTGCCCATCACTTGGCCTCTGTTGTGTACATTTGTCCTCATCCACTCTCCCTACCGACACGTCCAACTCTCCTCATTCCCCATCCTTCTCTCGACCCTGGATCCCTACCATCTCTTCCACCCAACCTTGACCCTTTCCTTCCAAAACACACACACACACACACACACACACATACACACGTGCGTGCGCTGAGACTCTGGATTTCCTTTGGACTCTTTGGTCCTCTAAATGTAGCTCCTATCTACAAAATGTTTAAGTAGATGCGAATCTGGGTTAGAGTTCGGAGCAGTGAATGAATACTTTGTTGCTTCCCCTGAACTCAGTGGAAGAAACTGTCTTATCTAGTAAGAACCTAACAGGGGGGAGGAGGGGTGTCATGTGGGTCTGAGAATCACAGTGATACCTGCAGTGTGGCTGGGGGCACGAGTGGAGGAAGAGTGAGCGCCACTCTGGGCATTTTAATTGAAGTCTGACTTGCTTGGTAACTGGAGCATGGAGGAAGAAGCGGAGCTTCCCTGTTCCTCCACTCCTGCCCTTTGCAGAATGAGACTGGCCCAAATAAACAATCGGCAAATCTCTTCCAGCTCTGACCATCTTTATATAATAGAATTTCTACTAGCAATGTCTTGAGTTCGTAATTGCCTTGGAGACAAGCCTTTCAAACTGGCTCACAAAAAGCCCCGTGTCCCTTCTGCAGAGCATTCGAAGCAAATTATCAAGAAAGAAAAGAAAAAGCTCTTAAAAAGGCGTTGACTTCATCTCATAATATCCTGTTACCTCCCCTTGAGGAAGGCAAACCAGTGTGTGTTTATGTGTTTACGGCAGCCGCAGCGGCGGCAGCAGTGTGAGAGTTAGGTAATGTAATTTCCATCCAAGGTGGCTGTGCGCGTTCCAAAGGGATCTTCAGGCTGCAGCATTGCCAACCCTGAGGGATAACTTCTATTTGGTTCCAAAGAAAGGCTGATGGTTTTTCGACAGATGGGCCCTTTTGTGGATGGAGCTGGACAGAAAGAATATGAAAAGAATGCAGAAATCAGTCGGGCAGTAAAGACTTGAATTCAGTCTAGGCGGATGGCTGCTGAATTCCATCTACCCAAATTAAGCTGTTCTGAAAAGGGCCAGTGTGTGCTATTTCAAGAGGGTGGGGCTGGTTCTGACTCCAGAAGGCTGTCTCTACGTCCGTGTAAACTACATAACTTAGTCCAACCTTGGTGCGTTGAGTTGAAGGGTTACGAAGATTTTGATTAACTTTGTAAGCAGAACCAGAAGAGTTAAGGGAATTTTTTTCCGAGCGGTTTAAGGTTTATTTGATGAAGACCGCGAGAGCTCTTTAAACGCTACAGACGCTGTTGCTTGTTTTGATTATAAATTTGCCCTGTGGAGCATCAGAATGTCTATTACATTTATAAACGCACTTGGAAACTGAGCCTGTTCAGTGGATGAAATACATAACTGAGATTGAGAACTTACACCATCTAACGTGTCCACTAGAGTTTCTGGAAACTTCGAGAGCCTTTTTCTTATTTCATTCACTTTGCATCCAGAGTCACAGTTTGAACGACAGGTGGTTGAAACCAGCTTATTTCCAATGTGTTACTTTGAAAACGCAAACGTCGCTTTAGAAGCTACCTAACTGAGGTTGGAGGGATAGCTCAGTTGGCAAAGCGCTTGCCCTTGCAAACATGAGGATCTGAATTGGATCCTTAGACCCTACATTGAAAAATAAACAAGACTGGGAGCTGGCGGGAGGGCTCACCCAGTCAGCGCGCTGCACCAAGACTGATGGCCAGTGTTCAAACTCCAGTCCCACAAGGGGGACCGAGCGCTGACTTCCCCTGCTTGTCCTCTGGCCTGCATGTTTGCGTTGTGGCACATGCAGCAAGTATTTTGATTTTTAAAGTTGGGTAGGGGGAGGAGACAGGGAGGTTCGTGAGTCTTATGGGGCCAGGCATCCTCATGGACTTGATGAGTTCAAGGTCAGGGAGAGTCTCTGTCCCCAGCAAAGATAAGGTAGGCCACGCCTGAATATTTTTGAGACTACTGCACAGGGGACAAATGGGGATTAAGCTAGGACAAGGCAGCACCCACTTTGGACAATGTTCATTTCATCTTATACTTTCGGGTAATAGTCCATCACCAAGGGACAACCAGGAAAACAAAACGGAGTCCTCTACAAATTCAGTCACGGCGTTTACCGCGACAATAGAAAGCAAACTAAGACAGCTGGGTTGAAAAAAAAATCTGACTTCATTCTGAAAACCTCACTAACAGTGGAGTGAACAGGCCTACTCTGTCTTCTGATGTGCTGTGACAGGAAATTCACAGAGCCCTATGTGGTACCCTGGCCCCCAACATCAGTAATCAGAATGAAACAAGACTCTGAACTTAACTGAGACATTAGCTCTAACTACTAGTGAAGGGACATTGAATGACATGAGCATCAATGACCAAATTATGAGTAATATCTATGGCATTTCATGTCTCGATTCCTTCAATAATAAATGGAATAACACAAAGGAAAGAAATGGTTACATATTATAGAGACAAGGTAAATACTCACTGAAAAATATTAATGAGTCTGCCCTGTAGAGCTTTTGGATCCATATTTGGACAAATTATAAGTAGACATTTTTTTTAGCACTCTGAAATTACATGTGAATATGCACTTAGACGATATGAAGGAATCCTTGCTGTCCTGGGGAGACGGCTCTATTAATAAGAGCTCTGGTTGCGGATTCATGAGGTACTGAGTTCATCCTCAGCGCCCACCGTAGCACTGTGACGGACAGAGACAGGAGGGTGGCTGGGGTTTGCTGGCCAGCCGCAGTCCCCCCAGGTTCAAGAGCAGAGTCTGTCTCGGAGGAACAGGTAGAGAGTAATAAAGCAGGAAGCCCTGGACTTACCGCCCGCTTCCACACACAAGATGCCGGCTCCCCCCCCCCCCCACCACCACCATGCCCCTACACAGAGGAACAGTTGCTCAGCTGGATGCATAAGCCAGTGGCATTAGTGTCATATTAATTTTTTTAAAAAAATTGTTATCAGATTTCATTATAAATCTGAATAGAAAAAAATCCTTCTCCCCACCCCTGCCCAGAGGTTTGATTGAAACACTTATGAGTTGAACAAGACGGCATTGATTTTAAACTGTTCTAGTGGAAACAAAGAGGGTGAAAAGAATAACGGGAATGGAATGAAGAAGGAACTGGAGAAAACGTTGATCAGCAAGGCCAGATGTGGGTACCCGATGGCTGATCATAGTCTTCTTACATATGCGTATGTTTGATAGTCTGTGTTGCAAAAAATTTAAATCTATCAGTTTCAAGCAGGTGTGTATTGGTATATTTTTTTCTGATTTTTACTTAGGAATAAAGTCTTGGAAGTGAAATTGCAATGTCAGAGGTCACATGTATTTTGAAAACTCTTTATAGCTGTTTGTATAAATCAACTTCAAACCAAAATTATCTATTTTTGCTAATACAGCATTCCTGTTATATTTCTAACATAGCCCATGGGAATTTTTTGTTTGTTTGTAATTTGCCCAGGGATAATTGCTGGCCTCTCTTTGGATGACTGTCCCTATTCCTACAGAATATCACTTGTCCCATTCCCAGCCTGTCAGACACCCGGCAGGAGAAGGTGTGAGGAGGTGTCTTTGTTAAATAATACTTTTGCTCGCGTCTGGAAAAAGAGCTGGAGTCGGCTTTCCGGGTTTTACTTTTGTAATGAAGAGAAGTTAGGTTTTATGTCTTTGGCCGCACGGCAAGCGTGGCGAGTCAGAGGGATTTCATTCCACGGTGTGAGGATGACTGAGGCGTGATGCTGTGCTGGGGTGGGGGTGGAGAGCAGTGCAGGCAGTGTTTATGCCTAGGAGAAGCAGAAAAGGTATTAAGATTGGAGAGGATGAGGGGGGAGGGTTCAGTCCCGAAGAGCCCCAGCAACAGGAGATGGGCAGAGTTTTAAAATAAAACAGACAGAGGGGCAGGCAAGTTAGCTCAGGGAATTACCACTGGTTCTTAAACCTTCCCAATGCTGCGACCCTTTAACACAGTTCCTCATGTTATGCTGACCCCCAACTGCAGATTTATCCTGTTGTTACTTCATAACCGCAATTTGCTACTGTTACGAATCGTAATGTAAATATCTGATATGCGACCCTCGAAGGGGTCATGACTCACACATCGAGGAGCTGCTGGTTTTAGACACTTGCAACCGAGCCTGAGGTTCTGAGTTACGGCATCAAGACATGCACGGTGAAAGGAAGGGACCTGCTGTAAGTTGACCTCTGACCTCCAATGACATGATTGTCATCGCGCATCCCCTATGCTCACAATGGGAAAATAAATAAATGTTAAAAAAAAATTAAGAAAGTTAAAGAAAGAGTTCCTTTCTTCTATTGATTTTATCTCCCGTGTTAATGCTTTGCCAATCAGTGCGTAAGGCTACCCGAGACAAATTTCTCAACCATCTCCCTGCCTCCCCTTCCATCTACCACTTTGCCCTTGACTTCGAAGCTAAAGCTGGGGCTCCTCTTCTTCCCATGACAGAAATGAAGCTTCTATTAGTGTCATGGGGTAGGGGTTGTTCAGGTTCCGGGATGGGGTGCTATGCCCACGTACCATCTACCTGATTTTGTTAGGAACAGCAGGGTGAAAAATAAGGGAAGCGCGTGGGTATCGAGAAATAGTTTTGCCGTGAAGTCTAAGTGCAAAGGTCCACGCGAGTACTCTGTGATAGACGTGATTTCGAAAAGTGCGTTTTAAAACGGTGGTCAAAAAGGGACAAATGTCTGAGAGGCGACTTCACTCTTGGGCGGTGTTTAGCGGCTGAATGTGCTTACTCACTGTGATGGATTATTCTTTTTGATCTGCCAAGTATGTACTGAGGTCCTGTGATGAACATGGCTTATGGATATGAGGACATTAGGAGTCGGATGTATTCCATGGAGTCTTAACTTCAGTAGAAAGAGCACGAGAAAGGAACTCAAGGCTGTTTGCAGAGGGTGTGGCTGAAGAGGGATTCCACCGTGTCTGAGAGTCATTAGCACAGGCTTCATACAGCATACCCCGCTGCACCACGGATGACAGCCGTGGGGTCCACCACGCTCTGACTGAATCAATCCAGAATGCTCTGTGAGGCTGGGAGCCTCTGCTGAGTGCATAGTGTTCATTATTAGCATGTTCTCCCCGGCGACACAGCACAGTTTCTGGCCATGGCGCTGCTTCTGAGCATCCACCACCCAACGATGCCTGTTGATCTTTGCAGGCCTGTGATAGAGTCCACCCCTACTCCAAACAGTTGACTGCCTTCAGTAGTGCATCTTCTGATACTCTCCAGTGGTTGCTTAGGAAACCTGGCAAGTTTCTCTTGATCCCAGTCTCTTCGTTTAAGTGTGTGATCTTCATCCTCCTTCTGTGAGGATTTACTTTTGTAATGAAGAGACGGGAAGCACAGAGGGTGAAAAAGCGACAAGAGAATTTAAACTCTGAGCCCTCTCCCGGCGGCATACTTCCTCACGCAAGGCTCCCTCTCCCTAAAGTTCCACATCTTTGTCAAACTGGGCCACCGACTGGGAACTGGGTGTTTAAACATAGAGCCCAAAGGAGGACATTTCTCAATCAAGCAACTACAAAAAGCTCGGCCACTCAGTTCAGAGAAAAGTTACTCATTGGCCAAGGAATGAATGAAATTTCTGCTCTGACAATGCTTGAAGCATGCCTGGGTAGCCCGTATGTGGCGGTTCTGTTGAACTTGTCTGTGTTGGGTTTCATGGTCTAAGTTGATGAGGTCTGTTCCTCTCATTGGCCAATAGTTACACGCAACTGGGAACGTCTGCTGTTTGAGCCATTTCATGAGTATTATTAATAGGCATACTATGTAAATCCCTTATCGTAACATCAAAGCAAACTATTTACACTATTTTCACATTATTGGTATTTAATAAAAATATTAAATTTCTTTTTTTGTTAAATTCAGGGCAGGAATTACAGTGTCAATATGATTAGGAAAGACATCTATCTACTCAAAACTATTTTGGTGACATATGCAGTTTCTACTTTTTGTTGCAACCTAAGGAAAGTGTGGTATCGGCCTTCTTTATAGTCCTTGACTTTGCTGTAGAAACGATAGCTATTTAAACTGTCACTTAAATTTGGCCTACCTTTAAAGAGTGGTTTATAATTTGAGGAGAGAGAGAGAGAGAGAGAGAGAGAGAGAGAGAGAGAGAGAGAGAGAACTTCCAAATTAGAAATAAAACCACTATAAATGAGAATTATTCAAAGACAAAGCCTAATTTGATTTTCTGTGGGAGGCACTGTAAGGGCATTTGGAGGGCAGTTAGAAATTAGTAGAGCCACAGAGCTTCGGAGGGAATTAGTTAAAGTGAGGGGCCCCGCCCAAGGTTATTCAAGGACAGTATGAACAAAGAGGGATTTGGGAGTCAGGCTCCCTCTGCCTAGAATTCCTGTGCGTGACTGGACTTTGCTACGTGATGTTAGTGCTGTTACTTGGGGGCAGCACTAACTATTGTGGCAACAGTATCTCCGGAGAACAAGGGGGAGGGGGAGGGACAACGGTGTCATTGACTTGTAGAGTGGTTCACCAGGAAGAGGTCTCTGAGATCATCCTGTCCAACACTCTCTTCTTCTAGGGGATGAAACCGACACCCGGAGCTGACTGACAGAGCCAAGGACATCTGGCCCAAAAGTCGAAGGATGAACTTGAGAACAATACTTATGGTTGATTTTTTATTTTTAGCATCCTTTACTAGATTTGTTTAAATTTCATTGATTCCACCATCTAGTTTCAACAGACTTCCTATACAGCTCTTAAATTCTCAGCTGCGCTAGGCCAGTGTTGGCCATCTTTGGAAGCAGGTTCATAACGTACCTGTCCGTTCTTAGCTCCACAAGGTTGTGATACTTCTTTTCCAAACTGCATATATGGAAACCAAGAGCCATTTCTCATGGCTAAACCATCATCATAGCACATTAATCATATTCAAAATTGGTCTTAGGACAACACACTGGACTTATTTTTATCTGTTTTCTTTTTTTAAGCTGAGGGATGGGGAGGACAATTTATAAATCTCTTGCCTTACAAGTATGAGGAGCTGAGTTTGACCCAGAATCCACATAAAAAGTCCGAGTGTGGTGATGTACCTTTATAATTCTAGTGCTGGGGAAGAGGAAACTGGAGAAGCCCTCATGTCCCCCTGGTCATCCATTCTAGCCGAATAAGTTCCCAATAAATGGCAGACTGCCTCCAAGAGAGTGGATGACATTCCTGCGGATGAAGCTGAGGGCTTTCTTCCAGCCTCAACACGAAGGAAGATGTTTCTAAACCCACATAGAAGTGCACCTATACGCACACAGGGCTGAGAAAGTCAGGGTTACAATAGTCTTCTTCCAGACGAGGAAATCAGGGCTCAAGGCCATAGCTTATACAGGTAGCTGTACAGCCGGGATCAGAAACGGGTCTATTGGAATGAATGAAGCTCTTGATGGATTTCCAAGCAAGGCAGAATGAAAATTCTGGTGAGTTTAGAAAACACAGAGAAATGATTTGGCCCTAAACACTGACCACAGAGAATCTTGAAGACAGCATGACCTGGGAATATTAGAGATAGAGTGACCTAGGTCATTAGGTCCTGAGGATACTGAATTCTAGGAAAAGCAATCTCTGGGCTCTAAGAGGGTTGCCTATTTCCCAATATTTTCTGGATCCGAACCTTCTAAGAACCTACCAAAATCTGTTTGGTTTGGAAGGAACATGGCCCCATCTGCCAGCCAATCAGGAGTCAAGGTCTTCAGATGGACATATTATTTGCAAAAGGAACTGTACTTGAATTCTGGGTCATGGGAGAGAAATTGCTTCATTCAGCTTTGACAGATGGCATAGGGCAAGTAGTGGAGTGTGGGTTTGTGCCACACACAGCGCCCCGTGTCTGCACTCGGTGCAGCTATTACCCAGTTCGTGAGCTTCAGGCAAGGGGGCTGGAGGTTAAAATACACAGACACATACAGACAGAGAGACAGCGACACGAGTCATCCTTGAATTCCCCAAGAATGCCCCCTTTGTTGTGTTCAGGGGCAGATCATATAGAGATAGCCACGCCCCAGCCAAACCCACCAGAAACCACTCTCCTGCCATCAGGAACTCCTGAAGGTCTCATGCTCAGAGCAGCTGTAGATGCTCAGGTCAGGGGATTTCAAGAAATTCAGGATCTGGGGTCTCACTGGTCCCAACAGGTTTGGACTTTGTCAAGTCTGAGGATACCAGTGTGACCTTGGTCCATTGTGTTTCACCTCTAAATTCTCTTCTCTGAAGTGGGATGGTAAGGACACCCACTTCTAGCTTTGTTGTGAGAGGCTGGCGAAGGATGATTTTGCAACGCCGGGCACAGAGCTGGGCAGTCAGGGCATCAGGTTCTGCCGCAATTGGTGTCAGTGTGCTGCGCAGGCACGCGATCGGCAGAGCCCTGGAAGGAAAGGGCTTGCTCGCTCCCTTCCTTTATAGATCTGCACTCTGACCATCCGCATGAGGTCACACACTGTGCTAGACTTTGGTGTCCCTATAGGATGTCAACCCAAATGTGTGCCTACACATGTACCATTATGCCACCCGGCAATGGGAAGGCTCATCTATGGAATGTCTGGGTTCTTATCCTCAGTTGCATGTGGGTCACTTAGGATGTTTTGGTAAGATGAGTTGCCTCTGAACCAGATTTGAAACCCAATGACCATCTTTCCCAGAACGACCGAAGGTTAGTTGTCTCGTTTATGCCTGTGGGATTTTATTTATGGAAGCGACTGAGTGACGACATGGAGAAGCTAATGTTATTGGGAAGAAGAATGTATTACTTACATTTTCGGAGAAGAGGAGGAATGCCCATCATTGTGGGTTACACGGGGATCACCGGATTTGGTCAGGAGCCAGAAAAGAATGAAGACAAATCATAAATCAGACCCTGTTTTTCTATAGAGGGGCAAGCGGGGCAGAGTTGAACAGTTCAGCATTGACTGGCTAGAAATTTCTGGAGAGCTTTGGGATGCAGAGGCAGAGCCTGCCTGCCCCACACTTAGCCCTGGGGTGATGTAGAGCCTAGACAATAATAGTTCGGTGTCTGAGAGTTAGCTGAAAAGCATGAAGCATGTAGTGATGTAAGCTTGAAACTGGATGGTTTCTGCGAATAGTGTCCATGCTGAAATTCACTAGTTTGGAGAGAGTTTTTTCTTCCATGTCCAGAAGACACCCAGCATTCTAGAACATCCTAGAACACAACAACAACAGCAACAACAACAACAACAACAAAAGACATGGTTAATACTTCCGCTCACCTGTTTCTACCCTCTTTCTTTGGTGCCTCCAGCTCTGCAGATTTTCTGAAAACAGATGACGTCACAGGTGTCAAGGAGAAATGCACTTTGCGGGTAAAGAGAGAACTCGCATGTTATCCTGAAAGGAGATTTGCTGCTATTCTTTGGCTTTTGTGTCACCTCATATATCACACTCTGTTTACAGCCTGCATAGGAGGTAAAGAAAAAACCCAGCAACCCACCAAAACAAAGCTGACTAAGATGTCATCTGAAAACATGGCAACTCCTGGTGCCCTTTCGTGCCACAGCTACGTGACCAGAACATTCTCGTTAGCTCTGGTGCTGTCAGTGGCTTAAAATGTTGACATTCTAGAGAGAGGTCTGTCTGTATTTTAACTGTAGGCTTCACCGTATCTAAGCAAATAGCACCCAGCTCCTGCCCACACAAGGGCGTTCATGCGAGCTCCTCGCCGCATCTGATTTTCTTTTTCAGGCAGCTATTTCTGTAGCCGGTGTGAAAGATTTAAAGGGTTGGATTGACTCGCACAGTGAGGAGTTCCACAGCTACTTTAGTGAACTTTGTCCCATGGCTGCACATACTCTTGAAGCCAGAACAGATTGTAGAGTTATTGTCCGTGCTTATCCGCACGGCAGCCAGATAAGCTGGGAACGCGGGCTTGGAACTTTATGGCGGTGTGTGCGTTCATGGGCAACTCTGATAAAGGTCACTGGGCTTTAGTTACAATCAAGGAAATCTTAAGACCACAGCGTTGAAGGACTGCATTTACTGTCGACACCACACAAGAGCACTGTGCTCTTTGTCGGGAAGTCCGTCACGCACAGGGCTTTGATCTCAGACATCTGATCTCTCACAGGACTTACTGACTTCCACTATACTGTATGCCCCTTCAAGATCTGTTTATGACTGCTCATTTCAGGGTGTGTGTGTGCGCGCGCGCCAGAATACAATCTTTGATATTGTTCCTTAGGAGCTGTCCATTGTTTTTTAGAGACATCATTTTCTTTTTTTTTTTGTTTTTTGTTTTTTGTTTCTTAATTAATTAATTTATTAATTTATTTATTAAAGATTTCTGTCTCTTCCCCGCCACCGCCTCCCATTTCCCTCCCCCTCCCCCAATCAAGTCCCCCTCCCTCGTCAGCTCAAAGAGCAATCAGGGTTCCCTGCCCTGTGGGAAGTCCAAGGACCACCCACCTCCATCCAGGTCTAGTAAGGTGAGCATCCAAACTGCCTAGGCTCCCACAAAACCAATAGCTGCAGTAGGATCAAAAAAAGGAGACAGAGATCCACATTGGAGCACCAGACAGAAATCTCAAGGTCCAAATCAGGAGCAGAAGGAGCGAGAGCACGAGCAAAGAACTCAGGACCACGAGGGGTGCACCCACACACTGAGACAATGGGGATGTTCTATCGGGAACTCACCAAGGCCAGCTGGCCTGGGTCTGAAAAAGACTGGAATAAAACCGGACTCGCTGAACATAGCGGACAATGAGGACTACTGAGAACACTAGAGACATCATTTTCTAGCTTCTGCCTCTCTCTCTGCCTCACACTTCTCCAGCATCTGCCTGCGGCCATGGTTCTTCTCCAGCACCTGCTTGCTGCCATGGTTCTCCAGCACCTGCCTTTGACCATGCTTCCCACCATGATGGTTGGAGACTCACCCTCTACAACTGTGAAGCGAGCCCCCAAATCAAATGTTTTCTTTTATGAGTTACCTTGGCCACAGTGTTTTGTTTATGGCAACAAAAAAGTAACTCTGATACTCACTAATATAGTTTGCTCATATGCAATGTTTATTAACACCACCACCACCATGTGAGTATACCTTCCCAGCAAATAACTGTATATCCTACCACATTTAGGAATTAGTGCCTTCTTTATTACACATACGTGTTACAAATCACCCAGATCTATACATCACTGATTTTATCTTGAGTTGGTCATGGTTCATTGTTTTCACTCTTATTTGATTTAGGTAATATTTTCAAATGTTTGCTTTTGCAGCCCAAGAATGGATTTTTAGGTTAGAAAAGTGGAAGTGGGTGAAATATGTGGACTATGGGATCTCGTGTCCTGCCTAGGATATCTTTGATCAAAACATTCAGAACCACTTCTCTGGATCAGCTTCTTGTGTTGTGATTGACATATAACGCCCACAATTTCTTGCTACTAATACTTGAAATATCATTTGCGAGTGACTTCTATTTCTATGTTAGCTAAGGAAGACTCACAGTTATTCCTAGAACAATGCCCCTCTTCCTTTCCCCACACACTACCTGCCAATGCAATACTGCATCCAACTCATCAGCCTAGCTCCCTGTTTCCTCTACGTACTTCTCTTGGATCAGATATCCAGGTCAAGGACCCTGTCCAAGGCACACAGTGGGTGTGTGGAGAGTTGGGACACAAACCTGAATCGTTCATCTTCATGTTCCGTGCGCTATCACCTTTCTATATTTTTATAAAACGGGCAGAAATTGGTGATTAATAAAATTGGTTTACTCGCTTTGAAATATTGAACAGTCACCTACACCTAAATGTTTTTTTCCCCTTAAACATAATTATTTCTATAGCTTTTTCTGTCTAACCCATTGGTCCCTTGCATCTTATGAGTAAGGGGACCCACTATACAGTTCCTGAGCAATGCCATCAGCGTGAGCAATTCCTCTTTCTGCAAGCAGAAGCATGTTAACTCTAGAAGCAATAAATCAAAATGATGGCAAATGTCAATATTGACAATCCTTGTCTACTAAAGCAATGTCTTTCCCACAAGTCAATCACTTCAAATTGCCCGGGATATTTTCTTAGCCTTTGGGTTTAATGATGCTGTGAAGGACTTATTGTTTTGTTTGAGACAGTATCTCACTGTTTCAGAGGTGTGTTGCCTAGGCTGATTTTGAATTCCTGATCCACCTGAATCTCTCAAGTGCTGAGAATACCATTATATAATACCACACCCAACCTTTGCTCAATGTTAATACAAAAGAGCAGTCTGGGTCTTTTCTGGTAACCCCAAGGGACCGTGACTCTGTCTTTTGCCTGGCACTTGCTCACGGGTGAAAAAGCTGCCACGTTTTCATAATAAGGGAACCGCGACCTGAGCCTGAGCCAATCACCTTGTCTCAGAAGAGTCTCAGCGTCTCAAAGAGTGGCCAAGCTGGAGTTGCCTGCACCTGGAGCCAGGACGCTTCTCTCTGGACTTTTTAGTTTAAAAAAAAAAAAAAAAAAAAAAACCCACAGAATTCTAATCAGAATTTAATTTCCCCCCTAAATTAAAAAAAAAAAATCTTTGGGGCACTGTAGAGATGTCTCAGTGGTTAAGAGCGCTTGCTTGTTACCCTTCCAGAAGATTCATGTTTGGTTCCCAGCACCCATGTCAGGCAGCTCACAATGCAGATAACTCCAGCTCCGGGGGATCTGACACCCTTTCTGGTCTCCCAGGCTCCTTCCCACACAACATATATACGTATAATAAATATAAAAATCATTCTTAAAATGTTTAGGGCCGTCATTATGTACTAAGAAGGTTCTTCTAGTTCTTTGTTGTGCCTCCCAATAGGGCACAATAGCAAAGAAAAGTGAGAAGGGCTTTTTAATCCCCAGGTTGCCAAGAGAAAAAACTGTAATGTAGGTAGATGAAAGACTGTGTAAATAGTTTCTATAGTTCCAGGGCAAAGTCGAACACTCCGATTTTAAAATTGACAAAGGACTCAAACCCACATATCTGCAAAATAAAAAATCTATAAAATGTGCAAAAGTCACTCAAACCATGGTTGGCAGCACTACACGTTAAGGAGATAAAGATCAAACCCAGCAAGATATCAATTCACACACAGTGCAACGGCTCTCATCTAAAGCAAATGACAGCAACAATGGAAAAAAAAGTAAGTAACGGTGAGGATGTGGAGCCTTTAGGCCCACGCACAGTGTTGATGGGGGGTATAAAACGTAGCCACACTATAATGGGTTCCCAAAAGAGATAAAGGGAACTACAACACAGCCCAGCATTTTCACTTCTGGGTATCTCTCCTAAAGAGTTGAAAACGGAGACTTAAACAAGTATCTGTGCACCTGTGTTTAGACCAGCGTTATTCGTAACAGCCCGGGGTTGACACTCGAGCAGTGTGGGTGTGTGCACACAATGGAACGCATTCAACCTTTGCAAGGAAGGAAACTGATGCAGGTTGTAACACGAATGATCCTTGGGAACACTAAGCTAAGTGAAACAAGCCAGCCACAAAGGCAAGCTCTGTGTAATTCCACTCTCCGGAGGTACCCGGAGTAGCTGACTCCATACAGAGGAAGGTGAGACGGTGCTATGGGGGTTTGTGGAAGGGAGAAATGGAGAGAGCTACTGTTTAATGGATCTAGTTTCCTTGCACAGGAGTGTGTCCGTGCTTAGTGCCACCACATTGCCAGCTTCAGGATGGTTTAGATGGCTCGGCATGGTGGTGCACCTTTGTAACCTCAGTGTTTGGGAGGTAGAGACAGCAGAACTAGGAGTTTGAGGTCATCCTCTGCTACACAGTGAGTCTGAGGCTAGCCTGAGCTACTGACATGCTCGCCTGTTTCAAAACAACAACAGAGTTATATTAGAAATTTTTAGGTTTTATTTTTACAAAAATAAGTATTTTTAACAAAATAAAAATATATTATAAAAAATAATAAATTCTTTAGCTTCCAGATGAACGGTACTTTTTTTGTACAAACAGAAGAAGGCCCCAGTCTTAATCAGATGGTGTTAGGCTAGAAAATGGGAGAGGGAAGGGGCCGTCGGTTATCAATGATTTGGGCTCATCAATAAAGCTAGGATTCTTAAATTCAATGGAATAAAAATATTAGCAAGGGTGGGATGCGACAGCAAGAGCTGCCCCCTCTCAGTGAAGGCTGAGAAGAGGGAATGATGGCATTGTGCACCTATGAGCCCTCTGGTGGTGTCTTCATTTGTGGCAGCAGAAAGCCAAAAGCCTGCCTTCAGCTTTAACATAGCAATAGCTCTGTTTGTATTGCTCAGCTTCACTGTCAACATTTCTTTCTGGTGTTCCTAAGATAACCCAGGAGACGCACTGGGCAGTGGTTCTATGTACCTATTCATACCATCCTGTTCATTCTTTCCAGCCAGATCATCTTCAGTCCTTATGTGTACTGTTCTCTTTTTCCAGGCAGAGGTGACTCTGGGCAGCATCCCCCTGGGCTCTATCAGCCTCCCGGTTCTTGTTGGGTGGAGCCATTAGGAGGTAGCAACAGGAAATCAACAAATGGGAGAATAGTTTGGGGGTTCTTGTTGTAGAAACAAGGAGGCAGAACCTCCTCTTTCATCATTCAAGTCAAGGGTGCCTTGGCTACCCTGACTCACTGCACCCTGGAAACGCCGTTTCTCTGCGCTTACTCAAGCCCGTGGGAGGTAACAGCTCTGCACTGCTGGGAGTCCCTGGGTCTTCCTGACCTCTTGTTGGCTTCCTTGATCAACTAAAAACTTGCATGATATTTTGGTCTATTGTTTGAGCTTGGTC